TACGGGAAATCGGCTTTGAGGCCCCAGTAGGAATGAAGGACCACAGTGTACTGACGTTTGAGTATCTGGTTGAAGAAGGGTTATTGAACTCGAGGAGGGTTACTGAAAACAAAAGGTTAGCATTCCGAAAGAGAAACTATGGGGAGATAAGAAAATTCCTAACAGATGGGAATGGGAAACATGGGAAACAGAGCTCAGGAGAAAGACGGGCCAAGACATGATGAACTACATCACGCACAAGTGCAAGGAAGCAGCAAACAAGTTTGTCCCAGTCCAGAAAGAAAACAATGAAATGAAGATGAGAAACCCATGATTTAATCAGAGGTGTAGGCTAGCTAAGCAGCAAAGTAAAAGGACATGGAGAAACTATAGGAATAACAGGACATTTGAGAGCAGAGAAAGATACCAGAGTGCCAAGGATGAATATGTCAGGATGAGCAGAGAGGCAGAAAGACAATACGAAAATGACTTCGCAAGCAAGGCAAAGACTCAACCTAAATTGCTGCACAGCCACATCAGGAGAAAAACAGCAGTAAAGGAACAGGTAATGAAATTAAGGATAGGGGCAGAAGGATTTACTACAAACGACAAGGAAGTGTGTGAGGAACTGAATAAGAAATTCCAGAAGGTCTTCACCTTAGAGCAAGAAGAAATTCCAGAGATAAGAGAGTGAATAGTTAACCAGGAACCATTGGAAGAGTTTGAGATTACCAGCGGGGAAGTAAGGAAGTGTTTACTAGAGATGGATGTGACAAAGGCTATAGGCCCAGATGAAATCTTCCCTTGGATACTAAAGGAAGGAGCAGAAGAACTGTGCCTACCACTCTCCATAGTGTATAACAAATCACTGGCAATAGGGGAACTGCCAGAAATTTGGAAAGCAGCTAACGTAGTCCCGATATACAAGAAAGGGGATAGACAGGAGGCACTGAACTACAGGCCGGTGTCCCTAACCTGCATACCATGCAAGCTGATGGAGAAGATTATGCGAAGAAAGCTAGTGGAACATCTGAAGCGAAAGAACTTTGTAACACAGCATTAACATGGGATCAGGGATGGTAAGTCCTACCTCACAGGGTTACTTGAATTCTACCACCAGGCAACAAAAATCAGGCAAGAAAGAGAAGGGTGGGCAGACTGCATATTTTTGGATTGCCAGAAAGCCTTTGATACAGTACCACACAAGAGGCTAGTGAAAAAGCTGGAGATGCAGGCTGGAGTGAAAGGGAAGGTACTCCATTGGATAAGGGAGTACCTAAGCAACAGGAGACAACGAGTCAATGTGAGGGGTGAGGTCTCAGATTGACGAGACGTTACAAGCGGAGTCCCGCAGGGGTCAGTCCTTGGACCTATACTGCTTCTGATATATGTAAATGATCTCCCAGAGGGTATAGACTAGTTTCTCTCAATGTTTGCTGATGATGCAAAAATTATGAGGCGGGGGACGCACACCCTCCATCGGAGAGGCAGCTGGAAACGCCACCCGAGACCAGGGGAAAACCTCCACGTCCAGAGACCCCACAGGCGGAGGAGGCATAGACGACCCCATCGTAAAGCAAAAACGTACCCTGCACAAGCAGGGTACCACACAGGTCACGGGACCGACACCTAACCAACGACTCAGCGCTTGAGTTGTCAACTGAGGATCAACACCTGAGCACGTCCGCCCCCTCTGGCGACCAGCGAGCGAATCCCATTGTGACAACTGGAGAGGAAACTGCGTGGAAATAGAGTAGGATCGAAAACCTGAGGAGAATAAAGCTATGATTTGTTCAGATTTGAAACCTATACCTATTGGCAGCACAAAACGTGGACCAGACTGTGCGACACAGTGGTTGCCAGGATCAGGTTGGGTTACCGTTACCTGTGGCAGGTGGCTGCAGGTGACGGATCTCCCAATCCTGAGCACTCCAGGTGCGAACTCTGTGAGCAGGAACTGCGGCATGATCTCCCACACTACATCACCGAATGCCCAGTTATTAGACCTTTCAGATCCTTTGGCATGAGGTACCTGGAGCTTTGTAATTACTTTATTCACTCTCGTGTTCTTGAGGATATTCTCATAATGAACCCGGAGTCTGCCAGTGCAGACTACTTATCACGTGCCTCTATATGACTAACCATCCTGTGTGATGGGAATTTTTTAGCATCACGTAGCTAGCTTTTTGACACACTGTACTCGCCTTCATATAGTAGAGGGTAGCTGCACAAATGCAGATGTACCTTTTTATTTATTTATTTATTTATTTATTTATTTATTTATTTATTTATATATATACAAGAAGGTACATTGGGTTTGTGAGAATACATTGGATAGTACAGTATTTACACTCTTGTAAAGCCACTAGTACGCACAGCGTTTCGGGCAAGTCCTTAATCTAACAGATAATTTTAAGTAGGTAATTTCTATCAGAATTGATAAATGATAAAGATACATTGCAAGAGAAAAATGAGATGAGAGAGCTTAGTAAGTATATTAAAGCACATTGTTATATTAAAGCTCTGATTGATTACATTGACAGCTTGATTAGTAATTTAAACAACATTAATAGACACCATACAGCAGATTGACAGCGCATATAAGACAGCAATGATCACAATGGTAAAGATGTTCAGATTGGGTACATAAAGATTGGGAGACTGGGTAGCAAAAGATACAGATAAACAAGAGTAATAAACACCATACAGCAGATTGGCAGCACATATAAGAAAACAGCAATAATCACAATGGTAAAGATGTTCAAATTGGGAACATAAAGGTTGGGAGATTGGGTAGCATAGATACAGTGCAATTTTAAGGCAAAAAGTGAAAAACTATGAAGATGAAATTAGGTACTTTTTAGTATTGATTTTGAATGATGTAAAAGTTGGACAGCTTTTCAATTCAGTAGGGAGTGAGTTCCATAAACTGGGTCCCTTTATTTGCATAAAGTGTTTACACAGATTAAGTATAACTCTGGGGATATCAAAGAGATATTTATTTCTGGTGTGGTAATAATGGGTCCTATTACATCTGTCCAGGAAGAGTTTCAGAGCAGGATTTGCATTTAAGAACAGGGTTTTGTAAATGTAGTTGACACAAGAGAATTTATGGAGTGAGATTATGTTTAGCATGTTTAGGGAGTTAAACAAGGGGGCTGAGTGTTGTCTGAAAGCAGAATTTGATATTATTCTGATAGCAGATTTTTGCTGGGTGATGATGGACTTGAGGTGGTTTGCAGTGGTTGAACCCCATACACAGATACCATAGTTGATATAGGGATAGATTAGTGCATAATACAGAGAGATGAGAGCAGAGTTAGGTACATAATATCTGATTTTGGAGAGTATACCAACTGTTTTAGAGATTTTCTTAGTTATGTGTTGTATGTGGGTACTGAAGTTGAGTCTCTTGTCTAGGAATAGGCCAAGAAACTTTCCAGCATTTTTATTGCTAATGTTTACATTGTCAATCTGAAGCTGAATTGCATTTGTAGATTTGCTTCCAAATAGGATGTAGTAGGTCTTTTCTATGTTAAGTGTTAATTTGTTGGTTGACATCCATAAGTGGACTTTTTTTAGTTCATTATTAACAACATCATTTAATGTATGTGGGTTGGGGTTGGAGTAGATGAGGGTAGTATCATCAGCAAACAAAATAGGTTTCAGAATGTTAGAGACATTAGGCAGATCATTGATGTATATAAGAAATAGAAGAGGTCCCAAGATGCTGCCCTGTGGCACTCCAACGGTTATTGGTAGAGTGGGGGAGGTTATATTATTGATGGCTACACATTGGTGTCTATCACTAAGATAGGATTGGATATAGTCCAGTGCATGGCCTCGGATTCCATAATGATGGAGTTTACATAAGAAGTAATCGTGATTAACAGTATCAAAGGCCTTTCTCAGGTCAATGAAGAGTCCAATCGGAAACTCATTTTTGTCAAGGGCTGAGTAAATTATATCAATGAGACTAATAATTGCATCGTTGGTACTCTTTTGAGAGCGGAAGCCAAACTGACAGGGGCTAAGAATGTCGAATTTTACGAGATAGGAGTAGAGCTGTTTGTAGATAATTTTTTCAAATATTTTTGATAGTATGGGTAGGTTTGATATTGGTCTATAATTGTTTATGTCTGCCGGATTACCTCTTTTATGAACTGGCGTTACTCTTGCTTTTTTAAGGATATCAGGGAAGGTATGACACTCAAGGGATTTGTTGAACAGCAGAGCTATAGGTGGCGCAAGGGCATGGGAGGCGCTCTTGTATACAATGGATGGGATTTCACTGATGTTCCCAGCTTTGGTTTTTAGTGGGTGTATGATGGACACATCTGTCGGGCTGACTGGTGAAAGGAGAAGAGAGTTTGGATAGCTGCCTGAGAGATATGTGTTGATAGGTGTCTGAGTCTGTGGGATTTTACTTGCAAGGTTAGCACCAATCGATGAAAAGAAGCTATTAAATTCATTCGCCATTTCTAAGTCAGATGACGGTGTAAGACCATCCTTAGAGAGTGTTATCTGGTTGTGGGAGTGTTGTTTAATTCCTAGGATATTAGAGATGGTTTTCCATGTGCTTTTCATGTTGCCTTTTGCTTCTTTGAATCTAGTCTAATAATATGAAAGTTTTGCTTGTCTTATGATACTGGTAAGCACTGATGAGTACCTTTTAACTACTTCCTTTGTAACTAGGCCAAACATAAATTTCTTTTCATATTCATGTTTTTTGTTGATTGATTTAATTATGCCACTTGTGAGCCACGGGTTATTTTTTCTTTTATCAGTTTCTTGTTTGGTAAGGAGGGGACAGCGAGTGTTGTAGAGGCTTAGAGTTTTGGAGAGAAAGAGGTTAGTTGATGAGTTTATATCCTGTGAATTATTAAATTCAGATTCCCAGTTAATATTGTGAAGTGCATTAGAGAGATTGCCTAAAGCTAATATATTAATAGTAATAAAGTTATTAAAGCTAATATTAATACCTAATATATTAATAGACAAAAAATGAGGAGAGTACGTACCCCTCTGCGTCATCGCTACTCTCTCAAGACACCTAACCCGACCTAACTTTGCCTAAACTTAATCTAGGTTTACACAATGTTTTGTGATACTTGACCTGGGGAGGATCGTACATCTGATGCCTCTGTTCCCCTAGCGGTAAATAGGTACTTGGGAGTTCAACTGTTGTGGGTGTCATCCTGGGAAAAGTCAGTAGTTGACCTAAGAAGACCTCGATAAGCCTAAGAAAAGGCTTGCTGACCCCGATAACGTCAATTAATGTATTCGCAAACAGCAAATCTGACCCCAGTTAAGAGGATTCACCACTCTGTAAAAAATGCAACGCTTTTGGTGAACCAGAAACGTATGAGAATCCAAGCATCCCGCCTAACCTATCTAGACCAAAACGTAGAAAACGTCAATATTATGGTGCTTTAATTTAGCTAATACGTCGCATTTGTTAAATGATTGATCGATTACGTAAAAAAGTGACGTATTAGGCAAGAGGCCAAACACCAAGTTTACCAAGGTCTCTTGTGTCATTATCAGGTCTACAGACCCGGCTTGTATGCAGGATCAAGCCAGCTGTGGCGTACCCCTGACCAAGCCGGGTCTGGCGTACCCATGGCCAAGCCGGCTGTGACGTACTCATGATGAGGCCGGGTCTGGCGTACCCATGACCAAGCCGGCTGTGGCGTACCCATGACCAAGCCGGCTGTGGCGTACCCAGACCAAGCCGGCTGTGGCGTACCCACGAACAAAGACCTGGCTTAGTAAGGAGAGGCAAGCCAGGAGGAGGAGCAGTGAGCAAGAGCGCTGCAGTGCACAGTAGATCAATGCAACACACATAGCTCTCGCCTAGTGCGTAATTTAACAGGTATTCTCCTTAATAAATAATAAGTTTATCGAACAGGTGAGCGGCCATATCCCGAGACGAGTTAAGATTTTATGGACTAACATCACGATAATGGAAGATTTCTGCGGTAATGGTCATTTGAAGTAGTTTATTGCTCTGACCTAACAAATTGCTCAATCACCCACTTTGATGGTGGGTAGTTTGGGCATACACATGTTTTTGTGCCTTGCGTTACTTCGCTATAATTTTATAAAGCCTTACGTTAAGTATTTGTTAATATCAATGCGTTATCCTGTGGTTGGTAATTACCATAGAGGAATTATACCAATGTTAATTTGCACAGTTAATTAGATCTAGTTTGAGGTTGGGTTTAAAGCCTATCACCAAAGAAGGGAACCCCTGGAAGGTTATTATATAAGGCCACCACTGTAACGCGGGGGAGGGATAGTTCTCTTGTATCCATTATCCCGCCCCTAGTTAACTATCCTAGAGTTCCTACTGTAACCTCTCTAGTTCAACACCTTGTGACCTAGATATTTGATTACCTAGGTGGTACAACTACAAAGTGCCGTAACTTGATCGGTTATCCGCCGATCAAGTTTCTAGAGAAACTCTAGAAACATTTCACTGTCACAAACGTATAAGAGAAACGAAAGGAAAGAGATGAATAATGAAGTAATTAGTGAGGGTTTGGGGTGAGGGAGGTAGAGAGGTGGGAGGAGTAAGGAGGGGTCGTCAGGTGAAAGGGAAAGGGGAGAGAGGGTATGGAGATGAATAGGAAGTAGTGGTAGAGGTAGAAGGGTAGATAGGTAGAAGTAGATAGTAGAAGTAGAAAGGCTGCCACCATCCATTCTTGTCAGTACATACAAGACAAGGAATGGAACTTGTCTGTAGCAAAGGATGTTATTAGCATGTGTCAACTGGAATCATGTTCCAGGCAAGATTCTTTAACTCCATAGTCTCAAGAGTACTCTATATTCTAGTTTGCATATATCAGAAAATCCAAGAACTCAGGAACACAATTAAAATCAAATTAAAAGTAAGTGAATCAAGTATTTATTTAGCATCATAAATATCAGAATTCAAGCAATCGAACTGAAGGTTCATTATGTCCAGAGAACTTTGAGAGTCACTACAACTGACTGCCCCTAGAGATCACACAACATCTTAGTACACGAAATAAGTCACCTTTCATGTTCAACGCACCAAGTGTCTGCCTATAGCTGTATAGAGGAGGGTGATGGTCTGCAGTTGACAGACAGCAACCCGTTCTCACACTTTCTTACAGTCAATATTGACTTATTAAATACGTGCATATGTGACATACTAAACATACTAGTTTACCTTGAAAAGCTTCATAGAAAACACCGACCTTAGGTAAGGTCGGTGTTTTCTATGAAGCTTTTCAAGGTAAACTAGTATGTTTAGTATGTCACATATGCACGTATTTAATAAGTCAATATTGACTATACGAAAGTGCGAGAACGGGTTGCAGACAGTCACCCCCCCCGTCCGGCCGACAGCCTATCTCGGCTGTTGCCTTCTGCTCTGCAGTGCTGTCTCTGTTGTCTTATCGCTTCTTCCTCCCGAGTCCACAGCTCCTTGAGTATTTATTTGGGGACCAACTAGCTAACTCCGCCCACAAGTAGATAGCCCCAGGCCCTCTACCAAGTCACTCCTTAAACTGGCGGCATGTTTAAAGGATCCACCCGGATATCAGGCTACAATTATCAGATTACCAGAAACAAGGTCAACTTCACACGACTTGACCTTGGTCACTTGGTGGTCATTAACGCTTAGAGGTGTGAGTTTCTTAATTCCTAGGAGCCGCCAACCTGGCGCCTCTCAAAACTTGTCTTGCTTGACTCATGTACTATATATATATATATTAAATAAAACTAAACAAAACACCTTTACGGTGTTACACCACAATACCACACTAACCCAACCAACAAGTATACTTAAGTCCTGGACATAGTTCAGTGCTACAGTAAACTGTGGGTACACCCAGAGAAGCGGCGTACACCTCAGTGTACACCCTTCGATAACAGTGTCATCAAGCCTAACAGTGTTTACCAGCGTTGGTGTGGGTTATTTTTGGCCAAATTACCGTCAGTTATTTTAGTAAGTTGACGGCCGTTTTGTCGGGAGTGTTCCGACAACTTGTCAAATATTTAGTTATGCTTCCTGTTGTGAGGATCTGGGAGTCTTATAGAGGTCCCACCAGGTCAACGGCTAACCTTCATAGGATGCTAACCACAATAGTTGACTATACTGTTATAGGTGAAGAGCTGCATCAGGTGAAAGGAAACGTGTCCAATCGTTTTTGTCCTGCCCGGGGATGAACCTGGGTCTCTCGACTGAGAGTCGAGGGCACAGAGGACTACTGTGCTCAAGAACCACTGTGCTCAAGGACTACTGTGCTCAAGGACTACTGTGCTCAAGGACTACTGTGCTCAAGGACTACTGTGCTCAAGGACCACTGTGCTCAAGGACTACTGTGCTCAAGGACTACTGTGCTCAAGGACTACTGTGCTCGAGGACTACTGTGCTCAAGGATTACTGTGCTCAAGGATTACTGTGCTCAAGGACTACTGTGCTCAAGAACAACTGTGCTCAAGGACTACTGTGCTCGAGGACTACTGTGCTCAAGGACTACTGTGCTCAAGGACTACTGTGCTCGAGGACTACTGTGCTCAAGGACTACTGTGCTCGAGGACTACTGTGCTCAAGGACTACTGTGCTCGAGGACTACTGTGCTCAAGGATTACTGTGCTCAAGGATTACTGTGCTCAAGGACTACTGTGCTCAAGGATTACTGTGCTCAAGGACTACTGTGCTCAAGGACTACTGTGCTCAAGGACTACTGTGCTCAAGGATTACTGTGCTCAAGGATTACTGTGCTCAAGGATTACTGTGCTCAAGGACTACTGTGCTCAAGGATTACTGTGCTCAAGGATTACTGTGCTCGAGGACTACTGTGCTCAAGGATTACTGTGCTCGAGGATTACTGTGCTCAAGGACTACTGTGCTCAAGGACTACTGTGCTCAAGGATTACTGTGCTCAAGGATTACTGTGCTCGAGGACTACTGTGCTCAAGGATTACTGTGCTCGAGGATTACTGTGCTCAAGGACTACTGTGCTCGAGGACTACTGTGCTCCAGGACTACTGTGCTCAAGGACTACTGTGCTCAAGGACTACTGTGCTCGAGGACTACTGTGCTCAAGGACTACTGTGCTCGAGGACTACTGTGCTCAAGGACTACTGTGCTCAAGGACTACTGTGCTCGAGGACTACTGTGCTCGAGGACTACTGTGCTCAAGGACTACTGTGCTCAAGGACTACTGTGCTCGAGGACTACTGTGCTCAAGGACTACTGTGCTCGAGGACTACTGTGCTCAAGGACTACTGTGCTCGAGGACTACTGTGCTCAAGGACCACTGTGCTCGAGGACTACTGTGCTCAAGGACTACTGTAAGGGACGCATAAGGCTACACAAAATAAATTAGCATTTTGCTAATATTCTCTTAGCTGTTGGCAAGAGGACGAGCTGGCAAAGCAAACCCGCACACCAAACACGTTTGCAACTCGTCTTAACAACCATAAACCATACAATAAAGACAGAGGGAGGGTAGAAATAGCCTAAGCTACTCAATCCCTTTGAGATGTATTTCTTTCTTATCTCAATAAACATACTTGAACTTGAGCAATAACGACTTGTCGGCCTTGCGTGGCTTCTGGTGCCTTTTTCAAGGACACATATTTGGAAGAGAAGTATGTAATGGAGTAAAGGTTTCAGAACCACAATTAAAGCTGTAACATGGAGCTTTAGGCTACACAACCATCCAAAACTTGTCATTGTTCCCAGGATCTGTAATGAGGCTTGGGAAGTTCCCGCCAATAGTTCGTTCCTATCACAACCCTTCAAGTGTTGAAAAGTTGTAATAGTATAGAACTTTCTCTCGATAAATAACTTATATAAACATTACTTTTTAATCATGTATATTGTGTTAGGACTCGTACTAGTCACTTCCGACAGCCGTGGCCACGCACAGCCAACCTGGTGAGGAGGAAGGAGGAAATTTTACAAACAAGTTAACAACTATATAATATTAAACTGTTGTCATCCTCAGAGATTTACATTCAAGTTATTGTAAGTGCGAGACATGGCAATTAGACAAGTACACTTAAAGCTACATAAAGTGTGAGTAAAGTACAAAAGAGCACGACTATTACTTATGGTAAAAGTAAATAAACTAACCTACATGGGCTTCAGACATTTCATGAGTCTGGAGACAATGTAGTGTCAAACCTTCCGGTATTCATTCTTCATAGTGTAAGCCACTACGATACCTTCGTCTGTGTGTAATTACCTAAGTGTAGTTACAGGATGAGAACAACGCTCGTGGTGTCTCGTCTTCCCAGCACTCTTTGTCACTATGACGATTTTGGCCACAAACTTCTCACCTAACTTGTTCCAACCGTCTGTGAATTTACTATTTGTGTCTGCAGAATCGAGCTATTAGCTCTTGGATCCCGCCTTTCTAACCAATCTATTTTTCCTCTATTATATCTACTAAATATATTTCTCTCTTACACACACACACACCCAGGAAACAGCCCGTAGCGGCTGTCTAACTCCTAAGTACCTATTTACTGCTAGGTAACAGGAACATCAGGGTGAAGGAACCTCTGCCCATCTGTCCCCGCCGGGTGCGGGGATCGAACTCCGGTCCCTAGGTCCACGAGTATAGAGCACTGTTCACTAGGCCACCCAGCCCCACATATTGTACTCACCTATTTGTGCTAGTGGGGGTTGAGCTTTGTCTCTTTGGTCCCGCCTCTCAACTGTCAATCAACGGGTGTAAGGATTCCGAGCCTACTGGGCTCTATCATATCTACATTTGAAACTGTGTATGGAGTCAGCCTCCACCTCCACGTGTGTGTGTAAGGAGAGCGCTGCTCTATCATATACATTTACTGTGTGTGTATATATATATATATATATATATATATATATATATATATATATATATATATATATATATATATATATATATATATATATATATATGAGAGGTATATGTATATATATATATATATATATATAGGTATATGTATATATATATATATATATATATATATATATATATATATATATATATTACCAGATGGTATGACAATGGAATACTTCCAGTACCACATAAAGCCCTCCAAGCTCCATTTGTTTTTTAAAGTTCCATATGAAGGTATACGAAAGGTCACGGTGACTTGTTGTTGTTGTTGTTTAAGCTTCGCTACTTGGAACACAAGTTCCAAGTCACACGGGTTATGGTGAGCCGTAATGGACTTACCTGGCACAGGAGCGGGGCTGTAACTCCACGGTGACTTGACTATTGGTTATGATATTGCTGGTCACGTGGTGAGGTGCACTGAATGTAATGGAGGTTGGTCACTTCACGCAGCCAGTTCTAGCTGCAGCCTGTGGCGTGGTGTTCCATTTCTCTTGACCCAAATCAAAACATCATTCTAACATTACAGGTGATTATGTCATTGTAAAGTTCAAGTTCAAGTATGTTTATTGAGATAAGCAAGAAATACATCTCAAAGGGATAGAGTAGCTTAGGCTATTTCTACCCCCCTTGTCATTGTAAAAATTATCTGTTAACTATGTAACAGTTGTTGAGGGGACTTGAGTAGATTTGGGATGGCTCCTGACTTACAGACATTCACAGGGAGGTGAGGTTAGGTTACAGTAACCTCACCTTGAGTAGTTTCTAAAGTTTAAAGGCGATCCCCTTAATGTTACCAGATTCAAATCCGTCCATTTAACGGAAAATTGGGGATAGACGAGTATAAAAGCTCGTTACGAGAGAGGGAGAGATTATGGGCTATTCATGCCCATGCCACCTCTTGGGTAGCTTAATCTTTACCAATCGAGGGAGAGAGAGAGAGTGTGTTGTCTCAGAGGAGACAGGAGTCTGGCGGGTAGTGTTGGGCCTCACAGTGGGAGGGAGACTGACGGTGTCTACACGGAAGCTTCATCACTGTCGTATCTTGAGTGAGTACTGGTCCCTTATGTTCTAACATCACAAGTGTTGATCATTCTATTGCCTTGATAGGGAAGATAGATTAGAATTTTTAAATTGAACTTAATTAAATAAATATATATTACTAAATTGTCCATTTGGTGTATCCATTCGTTCCTGTTAGTCATTCATAGAGAGTTACCAGTGAATAGTGGAAGTGGACCGTGTCCCCCCCCCCAGTCTGTAATATCCTCAACTCACATCGTTATCTCTCCCGTGACCGGTAGCCGTCGTCGCCGGTTACTGTTAAGTACTTATGTTGATCAAAGACGAAGGTGGTAGCGGCATTAAGTAGTGTTAAGTATCTTTAAGCTTAAGTCATAATTAGTAACAACTGGCTTTGTGGCGGTATCAGTGGTGATACACCTGAGATACGTTATAACTACACACACACACACACACACACACACACACACACACACACACACACACACACACACACACACACACACACACACACACACACACACAGGTACACAGAGAATGACAAAGAGGTGTGAGGAACTCAACAAAAGGTTCCAGGAGGTCTTTACAATAGAACAAGAAGTCACAGCGCTAGGAGAGGTGGCAGAAAACCAGGTGACCTTGGAAAGATTCGAAATTACAAGTGATGAGGTCAAGAAGCACCTATTGGAGCTGGACGTGAGAAAAGCTGTTGGGCCAGACGGAATCTCACCATGGGTACTGAAAGAGTGTGCAGGAACACTTTGTTTGCCGCTCTCCATAGTGTATAGTAGGTCACTGGAAACGGGAGACCTACCAGAAATATGGAAGACGGCTAATGTAGTCCCAATATACAAAACGGGTGACAGACAAGAGGCACTGAACTACAGGCCAGTGTCCTTAACTTGTATACCATGCAAGGTGATGGAGAAGATTGTGAGAAAAAACCTAGTAACACATTTGGAGAGAAGGGACTTCGTGACAACCCATCAACATGGGTTCAGGGAGGGTAAATCTTGCCTTACTGGCTTAATAGAATTCTATGATCAGGTGACAAAGATTAAGCAAGAAAGAGAAGGATGGGCAGACTGCATTTTTTTGGACTGTCGGAAAGCCTTTGACACAGTACCCCATAAAAGGTTGATGCATAAGCTGGCGAAACAGGCAGGAGTAACTGGTAGGGTGCTCCAGTGGATAAGGGAGTACCTAAGCAATAGGAAGCAGAGAGTTACAGTGAGGGGTGAGACCTCAGATTGGCGTGAAGTCACCAGTAGAGTCCCACAGGGCTTTGTACTCGGACCTATCCTGTTTCTGATATACGTAAATGATCTCCCAGAGGGTATAGACTCATTCCTCTAACGCTCCTCTGCTGTCAACAAAGAAGCAAGCATTTTTACCACATTTGACTACTTCCTGTAATCCTGCTAATACACTTTAGAGTTCAGCCTGCGTTGAGGAGACATTGTCAGTTAAGCGGCGTCCAATAACAGTATCTACAGTGCCGATGTCAGTGAACTCCCTAATCAAGACTCCACATCCTGCCTTCCCATCCCTAGCTACTGACCCATCACAATACACATGTACAGTGTTTTCTGTAGGCAGTTTTCTAATTATACAATCGTATGTTGCCCTCAGCTCTCATATTTCATACATACTTTTTTCTTTTGCAAGGGAGTAATTACTACATCTACATTACAATCCTCCCATGGTGGTGTGAATTTTCTCTTGGGCACAGCAATACACTCTGTAATATCATACTTTATAACACTAGAACATAAGTTATTCATATATACTCTCTTCTTCATCATACACTGTTCACTACTTCCCACCTTTTGAATCGAGAGGATTAATTCATTAGCTCCCCCACCTCTCATTAATCTAATGGCAGAGGCTACATTTATCTCTACAATTCTATCCCCAATACTCTGCAGATTCAACTCCATCCTCATTATCTCAATCATAGCATTTCTTGGGCATCCTAAGATAATTCTCATGGCTTCATTTTGTACCTTCTCCAACTTGCCCATCCTACCTTTACCAAAACAAGAATTGACAGGTGCAGCATAATCAATAAGAGATCTTACAGTACTCAAGTATATCATTTGTAGCACAGGGACTCCCACTCCGCACGGGGAGACATCTCCCGTCACGCAGGGTGCAGTCGCACCTCCACAGATCTCCAGTATCAGCTCTTGATACTGGTAATGGCTCAAAAGGGCCACCACTTATGGGCTATTCATGCCCAAGCCACCTTTTGGGTGGCTTAATCTTCTCTCTCTCTCTTAACACATTCACGACGGGAGACATCTCCCGTCACGCAGGGTGCAGTCGCACCTCCACAGATCTCCAGTATCAAGCTCTTGATACTGGTAATGGCTCAAAAGGGCCACCACTTACGGGCTATTCATGCCCGTGCCACCTCTTGGGTGGCTTAATCTTCATCAATCAATCATCGACTCCCACTCCCTTTCCACAGCATGCCAAGGCCTTCAGAGGTTGTAATCTCTTCCGACATTGACCCAACAGTCTGTTCATCTCAGCTTCCAAACTCTCATGGGTATATCCAACATATATGCCTAAATATTTATATATATTAACTCTCTCTATATTTTTACCGTTTATTTTCAATATAATGGGCCTCCGACTTCTACATTCAAACTTAGTTTTGTTTTCATTAACCACCAGTCCCATATGGTGACACAGGTTTCCGAAATTGTCCAACACTGTTTGAACCTTTGAAATATCTTTGCCCTGAAACAAAATATCATCGGCATATATGATCGGAGTTACCCCATTTGAGTATCTCTCAGATGCTATCTTATTCATTAGTACATTAAACAGAGTGGGACTCAACACTCCTCCCTGAGGTGTACCGAGTTCAAAAGACCTCACACCTGACATACAACCTTGATACCACACCTGAGCCTTCCTTTCGTAAGGATAATCCCCTATTCAGCGCAATAATTTCCCTTTAACACCAAGACTAGCTAATTCATATAAAATAACCTCTTTGTTGGCTTTATCAAAAGCTCCTTCTAAATCAATAAAAATTCTATAATAATCATTTTCATTAGCTAGAGATTTAAAATATAAACTTATCCAGTTTAGGATAAGTTTATATTGAGGTTAGGTAATGATGATAGAGTTACAAGATACGAGCTAGATGGTGTTGAGATTGCGAAGTCGGATTGCGAAAGGGATCTGGGAGTTATGATTAGTAAGAATTTAAAACAAAAGGATCAATGCATAAATGTTCGTAATAAGGCAAATCGGACACTTAGATTTATTAATCGCAGCGTTAGTAACAAGACACCTGGTGTGGTTCTCAAGCTATATCTTGCTCTAGTTAGGCCCCATTTAGATTATGCAGTTCAGTTTTGGTCTCCATATTATAGAATGGATATAAATTCACTTGAACGTGTCCAGCGTAGGATGACTAAGTTAATTCCCCAAATTAGCAATCTTTCATATGAAGAAAGATTAACAAAGCTTAAGTTGCATTCACTGGAAAGGCGAAGAGTTAGGGGTGACATGATAGAGGTTTACAAGTGGGTGAATGGACATAACAAAGGGGATATTAATAGGGTATTAAAAGTATCAACACAAGACAGAACACGAAACAATGGGTATAAATTGGATAAGTTTAGATTTAGGAAAGACTTGGGTAAATACTGGTTCAGTAACAGGGTTGTTGATTTGTGGAACCAATTGCCGCGTAACATTGTGGAGGTGGGGTCCCTCGATTGTTTCAAGCATGGGTTGGACATGTATATGAGTGGGATTGGGTGGTTATAAATAGGAGCTGCCTCGTATGGGCCAATAGGCCTTCTGCAGTTGCCTTTGTTCTTATGTTCTTATAAGCTGTTCACTTGAGACAGTTAAGCAAGTCCCAGCTATGTCTGGGTATAAGTGACAAGATGAACAACCCAGTGGGGGGGGGGGGGGGAATCAGCACCGCTCCTGTGCCAGGTAAGTCCACTACAGGTTCACCATAGCCCGTGTTACTTGCCCCGCTCCTGTGCCAGGTAAGTTACGGGCTCATCATAGCCCGTGCTACTTGGAACTTGTTCCGAGTAGCTGAATCTATAACAACAACAACCCAGCGGGTTTTCTTCCTATTGGGGGGTGTTGTACGTGCTGCTATGCCGGTATGTCCACTCACAGGATGAGTGGCGCTGCCCAATAAACTCGCCCCTCGGGCCAAAAATTTAAAAAATATTAATATACATTTGAAATTGTTTATGGAGTCTGCCTCCATCACATCACTGCCTGGAGCATTCCATTTGTTAACTACTCTGACACTAAAAAAGTTCTTTCTAATATCTATATGGCTCATTTAAGTACTTAGTTTCCACCTGTGTTCCCTTGTGCGTGTGCCCCGTGTTAAATAAATTGTCTTTAAAACTGAGTATACCTAAGCTTGTTAATAAAAAAATGTGGGAGAGGATATTTGATTTTTTTATTAACAAGCTTAGGTATACAGAACAATGTGCTGCTACTCTATTCTATATGAAAGATTACGCAGTATAGATCAAAACTAGCTATAAGTTCATCTAATAATCCCATCTCACAGGATGGTTAATCATACGTGGAATCAGGGAGAAAACACCAGCCTCAATACAAAAACAATCAACTCTGACTAAAAATCAAGGAGAGAACATGAAAAGTAAGACAGGCAGGTCTATTAGCCTCCACTAGCAAAATATGGGTACAGCATATGAATATCTTCAATATTTCTGAGTGTATTAAATAAATACAGAACTCAAGGTACCTCATACCATTTGGTCGGAAGTCACTTATAACAAGCCGCCGGCTTCCTGTTCTCGTCGAGGAGGATATAAGACACTCGGTACATTGACTATATCGCACACATATATTTTTACCATTTACTAATGTTTAGTGATAATGATGTGATGATATACGTATGAGATAATGGCCCTCAGGTAAATTCAGGTAATAACAAAATACGTCATCACTGTTATTTTTTTAATAAAGAATAATGTCTGGCGACATTTGATAATAATCACAGCAATTTTATATCAGTACTAAATAATAATATATATTTATTATTTTTAATTATTATTATTATTATCATCCTTTAAATTACATATTTGCCTAAACCAAATATATATACATATATTATTTGAATTAAATATAAGTTTTTGGGCGAATAATTTAATGTTCAGAGGATAAAAATATTAAAAGTGTAACCTGGAGTTAAATGATTAATGGTGACGCGGAGCGGGTTCAAAAAAGGTCGAAAATGATAAAGTTCAACGTCATAACAACACATTTTAAACGAACCTATTCTATCCTGTCCTAATCTAAACTAACTTCCCCGTTGTAATCTAAGCTATCATAACTATCCAAATCTAGCCTGATATAAGTAAAATATTAATATTTGTGCTTTATATATATATATATAAATATGCGAGGTGTGACGTCAGAGTGTCAGCGGTGGGGAGGGTGTTGGACAGTAGTGAAGGAGCAACAGGTAGGCGTGGTGCCTCAACCTGGCATGGGCATCTTGGGACATCTAGTTCCTGGATTACAGTATGTGTGGCCTTGTTTGGTGGGGCATCATGCCCAGGTGTGTAGGGGCGGTGGTGGCGTGTGTTATACTTGGCATGAAGTATGCTGCAAGCCACAGTGGTCTGGGGACGCTCTGACGTCACGCCCTTTTAAAAAATATATTGTTTATTATTATATTTATTACAAGTGTTGATATCGTCTGGTTAGGTTTAGCTGGGTAGGATAGGTTAGGCTGAGTTTGGTGTGGCTGGATTGAGTTGTGAATTTAGGCTAGGCTGGGATTTGCTGGGATGGGACAGCTTAGTTGTGGGAAAAGAGGTAGGATCGTACGCAGGTAGCACAGTAATTAGTGTAGTTGACTTATAACATGTTGGACCAGAGTTCAATTTACAGGTTGTTTTGGGTTTGTTTCATTACACCTAGTGCCCCTGTTCACCTAGCAGTAAATAGGTACCCAGGAGTTAGGCAACTGTTGTGAGGTTGCATCCTGGGAAGGGTCACTATTTCCACCTTAGGGGGACCTCTATATAACTCTATAGTATGCACATAAATAAAAATAAATTATTTACCTGAAGGTCACTAACACTAGTGGTCTCAACGAGGACAGGAAGCCGGCGGCTTGTCAAAGGTACCCAGGATGAGGTAGATACTATTGAATATAGATAAAGAAAGGTAGCCCATATGTGTCCTGATAAATTTTTCTAGCTGGATTTTAAAGTTCAATACAGTTTTGCATTTACCATTTTGGCTGGTAGACGGTTCCATGGGTTTATAACCCTGTGGGTGAAAAAGCATTTCCTGTTTTCAGTCCTAAATTGCAGCTTGTTGAGCTTGAAACCGTTGCTCCTCGTTTGTGTTATATCTGAAATTGAAATATAAGAAATTGTCTGGGTCAACATCCTCCAGATTGTTCAATATTTTAAGTGTCAATGAGAACTGCCTTGTCATGCCTGGTTTGTGGTGTTGTTAGTTAGCCCTGAGGCCCTCAACCGTTGCTAGTATGAGAGTTGACATAGTTCTGGAATTAATTTTCTTACCTAGTCTCTATGATTGGATACAATAATTCCAAGCACCAAGAATCACAGTTGAATCACTTCTATACCTTCTTTTCCTTAAAGTCAAAGGTACACTTGATTATTCCTAGGGTTTGGCTAGCTTTTTTTACTGCTGCTCTTACCTGTTGTGCAACTTTCCGTGAGTGGTGGATTTTGACTCCTTAATCCATCAATCTTCTGCAAGAGGATTTTATGAATTTGGTACAGTAGTATAGGTATCTGGGAATTTTGGTAGTTATCTAGGTGTAGATAAATGCCCCACATTCATCTATACCCAGAGCATTTCACTAGCAAATGTGGTTATCGTCACATTTGATTCTTGGAAGCCAAATACCACGCTGTACTCTGTATCAGTGAACATTATGCCCTACAGCACCATGAACAAAAAAGTGACACTAGAAACTTCCACTAGCTGGTAAAAATTATAGGAAATTTTGGGGATATGCGCGTTGAAATGACAAAATCATGATGTATCTTTGAGAAAATATTGAGGCTGTATGATGGGATTGAACTGCATCCCTGGGCTTCCCAGGTGCACTCCGTGATGCAGTTACAGTTGGTAATGTGTGCTTGGGGAGTCCAGGGATGTGGTTTCAATCCCGTCGTACAGCCTTCGGGAATGTGTCAAAACGTTTAAGAATTTCTTTTTATATAGTTGAGTTTTAAGGGAGTTTACTGTTAATTGAAGTGCAAGTTATTAATGTTTCATTGTACTATTTGGATTGATTTGCTGGCATGGGGCTAAGCTTGTCTAATGCAGACTTGATTTAAAAGGCTGTTGCTTAGTGTCCACATATCTATTGCAATCCAATTGGTCTGGTACTTCCTGCAGAACTTACTTTTATCAATCACATACGTGATCAAACCACATATACCTACATTGAGTAATCTCCTTGGTTCAGGTGTTGGATCATGCCTGACACTACACACACAAATCACAATAGTGTGATGCATCAAATGAACAAATCTACAAGGGCTGTGATTGAGGGTTCGAACCTACGTTCAAGAGGATCCCAGACGCGCCTTAATCGACTGTGCCACAACATGGTTAAAAGAATTACAACTGGGAGTTCTGCTGACCTCACATGGATCCTGCAGTCTCTGTTGTATGTGTCTGTGCCTCAACATTTTTTTTTTTTAACTATGTTGTGCCACAGTCGATTAAGTCTGGGATCCTCTTGGACGTAGGTTCAAACCCTCATCACGACCCTTGTGAATTTGTTCATGCCTAACACCTTTAAGCCAGTCCACTCAAATGTGACCATGGGGTGATAGCTCACAAAATGAGGTCAATGGGAATAACTGGAAAAGTAGGACGCTGGATACTCAATTTCCTGTCGAACAGAACACAAAGAGTAACAGTCAATCAGATAAAATCTAGTCCAAGCGATGTTAAAAGCTCTGTACCTCAAGGTACAGTCCTTGCACCGCTACTGTTCCTTATTCTCATATCTGATATAGACAAAAATACACGTGACAGCTTCGTGTCGTCCTTTGCAGATGACACAAAAATCAGCATGAAAATTACCTCTGCTGAAGACATTGAAAAACTACAAGCAGATGTCAACAAAGTTTTTGATTGGGCAGCAGAAAATAACATGATGTTTAACAGTGATAAATTTCAGGTACTCAGGTACGGCAAAAATGAGGATCTGAAACATAATACAGGGTACAAAACACAATCGAATCTTCCCATAGTAGAAAAACAGCATGTCAAGGATTTGGGAATAATGATGTCCGACGATCTAACGTTTAGGGAGCATAGCCAAGCAAATATCGCGTCAGCCAGAAAAATGATCGGATGGATTACGAGAACTTTCAAATCCAGGGATCCCATCACAATGGTTGTACTCTTCAAGTCACTTGTGTTGTCCCGTCTCGAGTACTGCTCAGTACTCACTTCCCCCTTCAGAGCAGGAGAGATTGCTGAAATAGAGGGAATACAGAGAACATATACGGCACGCATAGATGCGATAAAACACCTAAATTATTGGAATCGTCTCAAAGCTCTCCAAATGTACTCTCTAGAAAGGAGACGAGAGAGATACCAAATAATATACACATGGAAAATACTGGAGGGTCAGGTCCCAAATCTACACAGTAAAATAACAACATACTGGAGTGAACGATATGGAAGAAAATGCAAGATTGAACCTGTGAAGAGCAGAGGTGCCATAGGCACAATCAGAGAGCACTGTATAAACATCAGGGGTCCGCGGTTGTTCAACGTCCTCCCAGCGAGCATAAGAAATATTGCCGGAACAACCGTGGACATCTTCAAGAGAAAACTGGACGGTTTTCTAAGAGAAGTTCCGGATCAGCCGGGCTGTGGTGGGTACGTGGCCCTGCGGGCTGCTCCAAGCAACAGCCTGGTAGACCAAACTCTCACAAGTCGAGCCTGGCCTCGGGCCGGGCTTGGGGAGTAGAAGAACTCCCAGAACCCCATCAACCAGGTATCAACCAGGTACCAAATGGTAAGGCTGGTCCACATGCTAAAAGATAGGTTGGTCCTCTTGTGAAGGGCTAGGTTGGTCCACCTGCGAAGGGCTAGGTCAGTCCACCTGTGAAGAGCTAGGTCGGTCCACCAATGAAAGGCTAGGATGGGTCCGTAGAATTGCCCAAAGCAAGTAATTACCTAAGTGTAATTACCTAAGTGTAGTTATAGGATGAGAGCTACGCTCGTGGTGTCCCGTCTTCCCGGCACTCTTTGTCATACAGTATAATGCTTTGAAACTACTGACGGTCTCAGCCTCCACCACCTTCTCACCTATCTTGTTCCAACCGTCTACCACTGTTTGCGAAAGTGAATTTTCTTATATTTCTTCGGCATCTGTGTTTAGCTAGTTTAAATCTATGACCTCTTGTTCTTAAAGTTCCAGGTCTCAGCAAATCTTCCCTATCGATTTTATCAATTCCTGTTACTATTTTGTATGTAGTGATCATATCACCTCTTTTTCTTCTGTCTTCTAGTTTTGGCATATTTAATGCCTCTAATCTCTCCTCGTAGCTCTTGCCCTTCAGTTCTGGGAGCCACTTAGTAGCATGTCTTTACACCTTTTCCAGTTTGTTGATGTGCTTCTTAAGATATGGGCACCACACAACCGCTGCATATTCTAGCTTTGGCCTAACAAAAGTCGTGAACAATTTCTTTAGTATATCGCCATCCATGTATTTTCCACAAGAATCAATCACCACAAGTGACAGTCTTGTGGTGATTGATTGATTGATGAAGATTAAGCCACCCAAAAGGTGGCACGGGCATGAATAGCCCGTAAGTGGTGGCCCTTTTGAGCCATTACCAGTATCAATAGATGATACTGGAGATCTGTGGAGGTGCGACTGCACCCTGCGTGACGGGAGATGTCTCCCGTCGTCCAAATGGAAGTGTTGTGGAGTGATTTATCCAATATATATTGTTGCCTGGAGTGTGTTTGCTGGCATATCAGCATTTTGTTCACAGTGATCCAGTCGTCGCACTTCTCTGCTCAAATTATAGAAAATTTCATTGATGATATTAACAAGTAGAATATGTACAGTATTTATAATGATATCTAGCATAAATAGCCACGAGACATTTAAGGTACAGGGGTACCTCAGTTTTAGAGTTTAATCCGTTTTTGGAGACAGCTCGTAAACCGAAGCTAATTTCCCCATAAGAAATAATGGGAAATGAATTAATCCGTTCCTGACTACCCAAAAACCTCACTTCAAACTGTAAATTTTTATATCTAATTCATCTAAATCTACACTACAAAAGTATGTTCAAGTTATTACTTACCCTTGCTGATGACTGCTGTTGGCATATGGAAGATGGTGAGGAGGGGGGAGGAGGAGAGGTGTTACTGTTTGGAAGGGGAGTCCCCTCCCATTATAACATCAGGCAGTGAGGACCTCTCTGGGGTGCACTCTGGCACGTTTTGCCTGCATACCACTAGGTCCTGGTTGTGGCTCACTGCTCGATTTTCTCACAACAAAGCGGTCCATTGAAGACTGTTTTTCCCTTCTTCACAAGATTTCTCTGTAGTGAGGCATCACATTGTCATTGAAAAGATTTATGCAACGGCATACTACAGCTTTCTCTGGGTAAGTCGTTTCAATAAAAGTTTGCATTTTTTTCCACATCTGACACCACTTCCTAATTGTTGTGGAAGGGACATTCTGTACTGCCTCATCCTCCTCCACTGGAAAAACATCCTCAGCTGTGTCTTCTTGCTGTTCCTTTTGAAGGGCTTGGAGTTCTTTGGTGGTCAGTTCTTCGTTGTGTTCTTCCACCAACTCCTCCACATCAGCACCATCCAATTCCAAGCCCATTTGCTGGCCCAGAGTAACAATTTCCTCAACAACAGGCACATCATTTACAGGCTCAAACCCCTCAAAGTCTAGTTCTGTCACACATTCAGACCACAATTTTCTCCAGCCAGAGGTTAGGGTTCGTTGAGTCACTTCTTGCCAGGCTTTGTCAACGAGTTTTGAAGCACTACAAATGTTAAAATGGTGTTTCCAGAACTCTTTGAGGGTGAGGTTTGTGGCTTCAGTCACTTCAAAACATTTCCGGAAAAGTGCCCTTTCATAAAGTTTCTTAAAATTTGCTTTGATTTTCTGGTCCATAGGCTGAATTAGAGGAGTGGTGTTAGGAGGAAGGTACTTTACTGTGAGAAAATTACTGTATCTGTGCAACAATTCATCTTCCAAGCCTGGAGGATGAGCAGGAGCATTGTCGAGGAGAAGCAGGGCCTTGATGGGCAAATGTTTCTCCTGCAGATATTTTTCAATGGCAGGGCACACCACTTCATTCACCCACTCCGAAAAAAAAATCCTAGTCACCCATGCCTTATTATTAGCCCTCCACATCCCACACATTTGGTTTTTCTGCACTTTATACTGTTTGAAAACCCTTGGATTTTCAGAATGATACACAAGCAAGCGTTTAATTTTCAAATTGCCACTCGCATTTGAACACAACACAAGCGTAAACCTATCTTTCATAGGCTTGTGTCCAGGCAATGATTTTTCCTCCTTGGTAATGTATGTCCTTTTAGGCAATCTTTTCCAGAACAGTCCTGTCTCATCACAATTAAACACTTGTTGTGGTAGGTTTTCCTCAGCTTCTGCAAACTCTTTAAATTCTTCAATAAATCTTTCAGCCATTGGTTTGGCTGAGCTGGCAGCCTCCCCATGCCTCACAACACTATGAATTCCACTTCTTTTTCCAAATTTGTTCAAACCATCCCCTGCTTGCCTTAACTTGTACCCCTCCTGAGGTTCCTGTTCCTCTTCACCACTTCCCTCTTTCTGTCCTGTTATCTCACTTACAGGATTCTCTTTCTGTTCGTATTTCTAATATTTCTACTCGTGTTGTTCCTTCTTTGTCCCCGTGGAGAGTCCCTCTTCTGCAGTTTTGTACATCCTTAACCCGCATCACTAAAACTTTTACCCCTCCTACGGTTCTGAAACGCCTTTTCCTTGAGCACTTTTCTTCTCACTTCCGCTCCATTTCCGTCTTCACTGATGGGTCTCAGTCTGCAGACGGTGTTGACTACTCTGTTGTTTTTCCTGATTGCACTTATATGTGTTGCTTACCTCCGGAGACTAGCATCTTCACAGCAGAACTTTATGCTATTCTCTATGCTCTTCGTCTCCAGCTTTCTAGTTGTCAATCTTCCTTTGTCATTGTTGTTGAATCTCGTAGTACCCTCATGGTTCTCGGGTCCTTTAATCCGGTTCATCCAGTGGTTGTCGAGATCCAGCATTGGCTGTTTCTTGTTCACAGTAAATTTAAGTCAGTTGAGTTTTGTTGGGTTCCCAGCCATATTGGTCTCTTTAAATGAGCGTGCAGATGCTGCCGCCAGGGAAGCTGTCCGCTCTTGTCCCATCTCTGGTAAAGGTATTCCTTATTCCGACTTTTACTCGGTTATCCATTCATCCATCCTTACCCGTTGGCAGGCTTGTTGGTCGGTTGTTGCTGGTAACAAACTGCGTACTCTTAAGAGTTGTGTGTCCTCGTGGCCGTCCTCCTACCACCGTAACCGGCGATGGGAAATGGCTCTGGCGAGGTTGCGTATTGGCCATACTCGCTTAACTCATGGTCACTTGATGGAGCGCCACCCTGCTCCTTACTGTCCTAATTGCATTGTCTCTCTTACGGTCATGCATATCCTTGTTGAATGTCCTGACTTCCGGGACGAGCGTGTGTCTTGTTTTCCGACTTTCCCCCGCGGTCGTTTGTCCCTCAATAGTATTCTTGGTGACTCGGAAACTTTTGATATTGTTCGCCTTATGCATTTCTGTTCTTGTATTGGCATCCTTGGTGATATTTAGCTCCCTCTGACTATCCCGCACATTTGATGGTACTACATAGCCTTCCCGGTTTGGTGCCTTCTTTTGATAATTACTTACTTGGTTGGCGCAGTTTCCCGCTGACCGAGAATACTTGGTTGGCGCAGTTAAGTGGTTAAATGAGCGTGCAGACGCTGCCGCTAGGGAAGCTGTCCACTCTTGTCCCATCTCCCGTAAAGGTATTTCTTATTCAGACTTTTACCCAGTTATTCATTCCTCCATCCTTACCCGTTGGCAGGATTGTTGGTCGTCTGTTACTGGTAACAAATTGCGTACTCTTAAGGGTAGTGTGTCCTCATGGCCTTCCTCCTACCACCGTAACCGGCAATGGGAAACGGCTCTGGCGAGGTTGCGTATTGGCCATACATGCTTAACTCACTGTCACTTAATGGAACACCGCCCTGGTCCTTATTGTCCAAATTGTATTGTCCCTCTTAGTCATGCATATCCATGTTGAATGTCCTGACTTCCAGGACAAGTGTGTGTCTTGCTTTCCGACTGTCCCTCGCGGTCGTTTGTCCCTCGATGGAATTCTTGGTGAATCGAATACTTTTGATATCATTCGCCTTATGCATTTCTGTTCTCGTATTGACATCATTAGTGATATTTAGCGCCCTCTGATTATTCCGTACATTCTATGGTGCTACCTAGCCTTCCTGGTTTGGTGCCTTCTTTTGATAATTACTTACTTACTAAAACACAGTAATACAATATGTATTTACAACAAAGGAAGAAAATATCATCATCTATACCCAATAAAATCTTAGCATGACTAGTCTCAAACAAAAATTACATACAATTGTTCTCTGCCTCAGTTTACAAACATGGAACTCACAAGGCTCATACCTCACACCAATCCAACCAGCTGTCAAGGTACTATACTCATACAGTAATGAAAACAATGCATCAAAGAGGTACCCATATGGAGCATAATTTCATTAGTACTTACAGCCAAAATACTCTCAACATTGTGAACTTAATATTGTAAACGCTGGAAAATCTTCATTACTGCTAATGTACCTATATCCTGACGCACAGTACAGTAATCACAAAACCCTAGCACAACAGACCTCCACCCTAAAAAATATTAAAATCAAACCAAAATTACATACAATCAGTCTATATATCAATGTACAAATATGGAACCTCGCAGGGCTCATACTCTATACCAATCCAACTGACTTTCAAAGTACCCATACAGTAACAAAGCAATGCATGACGGGAAAGCCTGTAGGGGGCATACAGAAATACAACAGTCACATGAATGCCAGAGAATATGATAATTATTAATTAATATGTAGACAAAGGTCACAAACTAATGATACCCAACTCCAAACTTAACAAGAAACACTACAGTATATAAAATTTAAAAGAATTTTAAACAAAAACTGAGAAAAGAAAAATACCACAGAATGATCATGTATATATTTAATCTACCTTTAACAAGCAAGATAAAACTTAAATGATGCTGTCTCTGAAATTCAAATACATGTAAGGCCTAATGTACAGTTTTGTGTGTAACTTTCAGACATGACTGGGGGTGTGTGCCCTTTCAAGCTGACGAAGGAGCTGTTCTACCACACGGTACTGACTGGGGTGATCCTTCTGTTGGTGATGACACAAGGTATCTTACTTGATGTCTACATACTGAATGATGATCATACTGCCATAGTTAACTACTTTTGGCTAATACCAGACTTTCTATTGATATTTGCTTTTGTTGCTGCAATGTCAAGTGGCTATAGGAGCTGCAAATATGAGAGAGCCTTAAAAGAAAACATGAAGAATGATCTGGGTCGTGGTACAGGCAGAGTTCCAACCTTCACAAAGATATTTGGACAGCATCCTTTGCCATTTTTAGTCTGGATGGCATACTCTTGTCTGATGGTTACCAAAGTTGGTATTATTTTTAAGTCTGAAATACCCAATAAAATTAGTCCAGATGATGCTCTAAGCCCTCAATTATTACAAGTTATACTAGCTTTAACATGTGTAATCTTTGCTGTTCTTGTTGAAGGTCAGACCATTAAAGAACCCAACAGTGACCGTGGACGTTATATAAAGTCTCTCTCTCATGGAACATCTCTTGAAATACTAGACTCTGTGACTTTTATTTCCTTACTAATCCAGTCAGAAAGTAACTTTGTGTTACCAGTGCACTTGGAAAATGCAATAATAGCATTTTCTTGTCTGAACTTTATTTTTCCAGGTATAGCTCTAATTAAACTAAGCCGCAGTAATTATGGTCGAAGTGCTGTGTGCCTCTTCTCTTCCATTGCATATAAACTGTGCCATTTATGGATCATTAATTTTACTTACCTTGTGATTCGAGTGTACCTCTGGGCAGGTATATCACTCTCGGTATCTCCTTTTATTGTTAAAAATATTTTCCTTTTATTTTCAAATATGACATCAGTTTGGGTAGATATAAAGCAATTAAGAGCCGTCATTGCCAACTATTTTGATAAGCGGAGACGTGTGTACATTGAAGCAGAAGCATCTGGTGGAGCCAGCCTTAATGCTGGAAACAGTAGCAGTGATTGGACAACAGTCAGTGATAAATTTGAGGAAATTGATCTGAAACACAATGTATAACTTAATTCTTAAGACATTTTCAAATAGTGAAAACTGAATGAGGAAGATGTCCAAGGCCTTGTGCTTTGCCAGATTGAACAGTTGAGTTTTGGGTCCAATTTATAAACTAGTAGTTATACTTCTGTTAATTGTTGATACATGTATCTAGAAATTTAAGATAATCGTGTGTTTTCTCATTTAAATAATTTTATGCAGAACAGATAATAACAAAAATTTGAACGTTCTCCATCTTGTAGTTAATATTTTGGAGTTTATTTTTTATCACTTTAGTGTTTACAGAAGTTGTGGCTCATGTTTTGCTATTTTCTACAGTAATTCCAAAATGGTGTGTATTTTATAACTTTTAAAAACTTAAAGCTACAACTGTCATTCCAAAAATAGTTTTTTCCTGGTCATCTGCAAGATTATATACCATGTAGTATTGCAACATAATGTGCAATAGACCTTGTGGTATTGCAACATGAGGTGTGCAGGATTATAGACCATGTAGTATTGTAACATGGTATTCAAAATTATAGACTTTGTGCAACATAAAATGTGCAAAATTATAGGCCAAGTAATGATGTAACTGTTATTATCGTAAATGATTTAATATTGATTAGGATTTATACCAATATATTCATGAATCTCATTTCTTAAATTCATATTTCTAGCAAAACTGATTAAATTTGTGTTATGGATAATTTTGTTAGAGTGGTGTTGCAGGTTGCATCCTGGGGAAGGTCAGTAGTTCCACCTGAAAGCCCAAGTACAGGCTTACTGTCCCCAGGCAGCAGGAATTATAAAGTCTTCCATTCCTTCAAAATTCTCATATTGTCACACACATGTAATGGCTTGCCTTATATTTTTTATAATATTTTTCAAATCAAATCATATAATGGAAACTGTGCCTTTAACTCTATAAACGTTTCCTCTCAGGAGTGTCTTTGTTAATGCGTCTTTTTTAGTGCCTGAAGTAATCTTATGAAAGCTCTAAGATCAGTTTAGTGCTTCAAAAAGCATGATATACTTCAATGGTATTCTGTGAAATGTTTATTTTTGAGTCTCAATAGAATACTCAGTATTATTAGTGTAATATTTGACATTGAAACTCATTGAATTATATTTTTTATTATACTTAGATGTGAAATAGTAGTTAAGGTTCTCTAGCATTAATAAGTACCCAAGAGGCAACTGTTGTTGGTTGCATCTTGAGAAAGGTCAGTTGTGAGCCTAGGGCAGCGGTCTTTAACCTGGGGTATGTGGTGTCCAGCTTGACAACCACTGGTCTAAGGTGACCAGACTTGGCTTAACTACTGTATTGCGCCGGGTTTATTGTGAAATTCCCCGTGCGCATGAAATAAAATGCGCACAGGGGGAATGCGCAACATTTAGAATGGGTACAAAAAAAATCTAAGAGTTTTCTCGGTTGGCGCAGTTTCCCACCGACCGAGAATACTCGGTTGGCGCAGTTAAGTGGTTAACAGACTTCCTGTTCTCAACAATGGGAAACCTAAATGAACAAAATTTTGGTGCTTGAAGATGAATTTTAACAATAGTTTAGGTGTGTACTGTTTACACAAAGATTATAACATACAGGTTTTGTATATTAAACAGTTTATAATTTTATTAAAATATATATAGAGTACTGTGTAAATACAGCACAATATACATTTGATAGTTTATATTGTCACTTCAGATAAATATCTACTTAAATCATTATACTGTTTGTGTATTTTTTTCTATGACACTGTTTCCAAAAAGCACCAGGATTCCCTAGCTCTGATTTACATAGGCATCTTGACCTTAAATTAGTGATAGAATGCTAACACATGAACTGTCATGATCTGCAATAAAGATCTCTCTAATTTATGACTTTTGTAATTTTTTTACTTGAGACTACTACTACTGAATAAAAAGTTTGTTCTGCAGTAGACCTAGACACTTTTGTCAAGTTTGGTGCATAACTTGTTAAACATGTACACTTTAGTTTAGAAAAATTGCTTCTGTATTTTATGTATTTCTATACTTGTACAGTTATCAAGTGGCAAATTAATTCATCAATATTAATGGTTATTTACTTGATGTTATTGTACAGTATTTGTTTTGGCCTACATTATCTTGATTAGCTTCGATTACTGTATGCTAATAATATACTGTACCGTCATCTATAGAACAATACATTGCAATTTGTGATTCACTCATATGTGTGTGTGTGTGTAATCCAGGAACAGCCATTCCCAGGTATGGGTCTGGTTATTATCATTATTTCACTCCATGCTTAGTATTCTACATATCTACAGTACTAGAATACCAGTCTTAGATGAATTAATATGGGCAATCAAGAATAGATAAAAATATTGGTGAGTTAATTTGTTTTATATACTAGAAGAATGTATAAAACAATGAAAACAAATATGCACTATGCACATTAGTTTAGCTACTGTATGCATTAAATATCTTGCCTATTTATAATGTAATACAATATATACTGTATAAAGCATAAGGAATATATAATTTAGTTTTACTCTCCTTTGATAGTCTTTTTGCAAGGATATTCCAGCATGAGGTTGGCCTGCCAAGTGTTATTCGATTCGGTTTTTCTTAGGCTGTGGGCGAGTCTTTTTTTTTTTTTTTTTTTTTACTCCTGTTCCTTTAAGTAAGGTTATGTCCAATGTGTTTAACTTCTGTGTTTTTTAAGTCTCGGTGGTTAGAGCATATGAAATCTATCGACAATGGTATCAATACTTGTTTAAACAAATGTAGAATTTTATACTCAAATATATCGGACCATAGAAATATCCACCTTTATGGTGAGTGTCTTAATGTGGTATTTGAGCGCCTTTTGTGGTCCTAGAGGCAGTTGAGGGTGGTTCATGAAGCTCATCTTCTGGCCTTTTGTGTGGAAACAAAAATTTGAAAGAGGTGGTTCTACTCATGCACAGAGAACTGTATAGTCAGCCACATGCTTTATGGACGCCTAACATCTGATTGGGGTTTGTTCATATAAAAATTTCTGGATAACTGGTGGAGCAGGTAGTCTGAAAAATAATGTGCAATAAAGATGGAACTAGTTTGCCCCAACCCGTCCTCGACTCAAGTCCATTACATCCAGCAGTCGACCCCAAAGACGCATTCATAAATTTTTACATGCTGTTCATTCAAAACAGGAATTTTCTCGAATACAAATTAATATTATAATATATTAGCATTTTGTGCATATATAGGCTTAGGTTAGGTTAGGTGTTTAGGTTCTGTTGGCGATTATTTGTAGTATGTGGGTAAAGGTAAGGTAATTATCAAAAGAAGGCACCAAACCAGGAAGGCTATGTAGCACCATCAAAGTGCGAAATAATCAGAGGGCGCTAAATACCACCAAGAATGCCAATACGAGAACAAAAACGCATAAGGCGAACGATATCAAACGTATCCGATTCACCTAGAATTCTATCGAGGGACAAGTGACCGCGAGGGACGGTCGGAAAGCAAGACACACGCTCGTCCTGGAAGTCAGGACATTCAACAAGGATATGCACAACTGTAAGAGGGACAACGCAATTCGGACAATAAGGAGCAAGGCGGTGCTCCATTAAGTGACCGTGGGTTAAGCGAGTATGGCCAACCCGCAGCCATGCCAAAGCAGTTTCCCACTGCTGGTTACGGTGGTAGGAGGAAGGCCACGGGGACACACTACGTTTGAGAGTACACAGCTTGTTACTAACCACAGAGGACCAACAACCCTGCCAACGGGCAAGGATGGAGGAATGAATAACAGGATAAAAGTCGGAATAAGGAATACCTTTACGGGAGATGGGACAAGAACGGATAGCTTCCTTAGCGGCAGCATCCGCACGCTCATTGAAAGAAACACCAATATGGCTGGGAACCCAGCAAAACTCTACTGATTTAAATTTACTAGAAATAAGAAACGGCCAATGTTGAATCTCGATGACCACCGGATGGACAGGATTAAAGGACCCTAGAGCCATGAGGGCACTACGAGAGTCAACTACAACCACAAAGGAGGAATGATAATGAGAAAGCAAGAGACCGAGAGCATAGAGAATAGCATAAAGTTCTGCTGTAAAGACACTAGCCTCCGAAGGGAGGCGACACATAAGTACGGTCAGGAAAAACAACAGAGTAGCCCACACCATCCGCAGACTTAGATCTATCGGTGAAGATGGAAATAGAGTGGGAGTGCGAAGAAAATGCTCAAGGAAGAAGCTTTTCAGAATTGTAGGAGGGGTAAAAGCTTTAGTAATACAAGTCAAGGACGTATAAAACTTAGGAAGGGGGACTCTCCACGGAGGCAAGGAAGGAACAATATGAGGAGAAACATTAGAAATATGAACAGAAAGAGAATCCTGTAAGCGAGATAACCGGACAGGAGGGAGACGATGAAGAGGAACAGGAGCTACAGGAGGAGGAAAAGTCAAAGCACGACAGAGGCGAGAGGAAGGATGTTGTAAGGACCGCGCAAGATAGCGATCACGGCGGTCCTGAAAAGAGAGAAAGCCAGTGTCAACATACAAACTGAGGGCGGGAGTCGAATGAAAGGCACCAGAGCCGAGACGCAACCCAGTATGGTGTAAAGCATCAAGACGGCGAAGAGTAGAAGAAGCAGAAGAGTATGCAGGGCAACCATAATCGAGTTTAGACAGGACGAGAGAGGAGTGCAAATAGAGAAGCGTGCGCCTATCTGCTCCCCAGTATGTGGGTAAAGCATTTACAGCATTGTGGTTCAAGCAAAATTGTTCCGGAAGTGTTCGAACTAAATCAGTTGAGTCGTGTGTAAACCGTTTTTCATTCATAAACGGGGTTTGGCAGGTGCACTGAATCACTTTTGGATCTTTCTTTGGAGGATGGGCTGTTTGCCCAGTGACTGTATACAACTCCACTTGAGCAGTGTTCATACACTAATGGATAGCTCAGAAGCTTTAAACTCTGCCATCCCTGGAAACACAAACCGAAACTGTCTCTATTTTCCACTGGTTACAACTCGTAATAAAGTTGTTTTGCTTAACGTGTTTATGACATACAGTATTAGAACATTGTTACAACTTGCTATATTGGTTGTTATAACTGGTTAGGTGTTAAAACTTGTTCGAATGTTGTACCAACGTCGTAGTTTCTGCGTGTGTTTGGCGGGATGGCATTAGGTACATTAGAGTACATAGTGGAAGGCAGTCTGCTGAGGTTACCTTATCACCATTAATCTCTACTTCAGTCAACCCAATACTCATCGTCCACCACATTTTTTATATCTAAATAACAATGCTCCATCAACTATAATCAAGTTAACAAGTAAATCAGATCTTCTCATATTGTTGAGTACAAACAAAACAATCGAATTTCTGCAACAAAATTGTAACTTTTTTCCCCTAGCTTTCCAGGCTGACTACTTATCAGAACACATGATGTTATCCATTCAGTTTCTTTCCTGAAGAGTTCGCATAGCACACGGCTGACTGTATACCAAATTTTCCCTTCATTTGGAGGGTGTCTGGCCAAGAAACAATGTTATTTTAATGTTTGGGAGCAGGGGCTGATTTCTGTAACAATAATGATAGTCTAAAATAAACACAGTTTTGTGAAAATTATTTATTAGTGGACAAATTACATAAAAGAAAATGTACAATGTTTCCGCATGTTGGAAGTGATATAATCACACATTACAAAATGCTGAAGGAAATAGTTGAAGTGGATAAAGGTGGGATGAGTGTGTACAGGTAAATAAATATAAAAATGCAAGTGAGTCAGAGATGAAAAAACCAGCACATCCCAAGAAAGAGCAGGAGCAAACAGGTAGTTTTGAGAGGATCAAAAGAAGAACCCCAGAAAGACCTGTAGCTTGGTCGACACCTCATGCCACTCCAGTGTGTGGGTATGACAAATGCAGTGTCAAGCCCCAAGCAAAAATGAAAGATTATCAGCTAGCCAGGAAGACTGGAACCTCGTAACACATTCAAAATGGGGATGAAGACCCCAAACACAAAAGTGGAAGGGTCTTGCAGAAGGTACATAAAAAGGGCCTCCTGAGTTACAGTAGGAGGTACCAAAGAGGAAAGAATTCCTTGGAAGGCTGAACCAGACTCAAAAACACATGGAAATGAACTCTGGGGGAGCCGTACCCAAATCATACTCATACAGGAAGGGGAAGGAGTAGGAAAACCTCACCCACTGGAAAAGAAGACCCTCCTCAGAGGAAACCAAGCACCACAAAGAATTGAAGGGACCCAAAGGCCCATATCCAACTCCCCTCCCCCCCTTCCCCACAAGCCCCAGCATCTGAAGCACCACAAAGCACGACACCACGATTCTTCGCGGTGGGGATTGTATTCCAGGGACCTGCCCGAAACACTACGCGTACTGTACAAGAATGTAACAACTCTTGTATATATCTCAAAAAAAAGAAAAGAAAAAAAAAGCATAGGGCTCCAGTGCAGAGCTAGCATCCTCGCCCACCGCCGCAGGATAGAAAAGCGGGATCCAAGGGAAAGGCTTCAAAAGAAGAAGGGGCTGGCTTAAAGGAAGACCCAAAAGCCTCAGCGGGACTAACAGGCTCAATTACCTACGCACCCAATATGAAAGGAGCAATTCCTGGAGCTGACCGAGTTAAATCCTGCCCAACCCAAAACCTTTACTTGAAAAAGCTGCATCAATATTTTGTACTATAAAGTATTCACATCAAAATTACTCTTAACACACTTTATACTTTATTCCTTAATTAAGCCCCCTTAAAAATTGCTATTTACAGATTTTCTTTTATTGAATCTGATTTGCAATTCTTTGCCGAGGCAAATAAATGATGAATATCCATCAATGGAGTTGTCATTTATATTGTATCATTAGGTAAAACCCCCTTTTTTTTTTGCACTGAAGTTTCAAACACTTTTATGGTGGTTTGATATTGATACTTAACCCCTAACATGCAGCTATAAATTTGTATGCATATCTGCTTATGCGCATAAAACGAAATATACAAATATTTTTCCCTTATAGAATGATTAATTTGGATGCAAAATGTATTGAAAGTGACTATCTACATTATAACCTATTTTGTACATGTGAACAAGTTGGGTGTGTGGCAGGACAACACACTTCTGTCGACACCAGACCTTACATCAGTTATTCACAGTGGCTGAACCAGATGACTCTTAGTGTTACCTTGGATATCTAGATGATTCTTTTTACAGTGCTATGCATATAAGAATTAATGAATCAATAAGAGCATAAGAACTAAAAAAGTTGCATAAGGCCTATTGGCCTATAAGAGATAGCTCCTATTTATTATTGTGGATATAAACAGCTGCTGTCTTGTAGCCAATACAAGGCAGCTCCTATTTATATCCACAATATAAATAGTAGTTTACTTTATTACAACCATATAGTTGTGAAAACCATATGAACAAATCACTATAGGGTACATGTCATGTAATTATAATGAAATTTTATACCATGATTACTGCATTAACATACAGTACAGTAGTAACATTTGCAATGATAATCACACTTGCATAGTATGGTAACCATGAATTAATGGCATGATATTTTTATGGGAACAATATAAATTCTACTATATCCATATGCAAATGAGGATTGACAATAATGTGGCTGAAAAATGTTGACCAAACCACACACTAGAAAGTGAAGATACGACGACGTTTTAGTCCATCCTGGACCATTATCAAGTCAATTGTGGTTTCATGGATATAGTGTTTGGTCAACACACTCCATATAATGCTAGTATATCCATATAAGCAGCATTGGTTTAAAACCCAGACAATAATAGTTTAAATCAACATTAGGATAACCATATTACCCCATGAATCAACACATTATGATAACCGCATTTTAAGGGTTAAGTAAATTTTTTCAAATTTTGTGCTTTCTATCTATCTATCATATACATAGGTGGGTGAGTGTATTTGTTTGTCACTGCCTCGTTAGTACTCTGTACTCGCCTAATTGTGCTTGAAGGACAAAAGTACTTGTTAATTGACATATATATACCAAGCATCCATTATATCTGCTTAATAGTGGTGTATGCTTGAAGAAAAATCTGAAGGCTCTGGAAAAAATTGGTTCGAATACAGCAGTATAGTGCCCAGCATTGTATTTGGCAAGACAATCAATGCATTTTAGACGTTAATAATCATTTGCTAGTATTTGTTAATAATAATTTGAATTTTGTTTTGCTTTTATTGCTACAGTATATAATATTTAATGAGTGATTAGCTGTCTTGATCATTTAGCTCTTGCAAAAATATTTTGACTACCCATGTAGGCATTTTTTGTGTATTGTAAATGTAGAAGAAATAGAGAGTTTATTAATGTCAAAATAAGAACTACTGTACCTTGTATTTTGTGATCATGTGATGTGACCACCAGAGAAGAGACCTCACAAGCTGTACACCAGTTGATTGACAGTTGAGAGGCAGCACCAAAGAGCTGAAACTTAACCCCCACAAGCACAGCTAGACGAGTACCTACTGAGGAATGGTGTTTGATTTTATTACAGATTTTTTTGTGATCTTGGCTTTTATTATTTAGGGAATTATTACGGAAAAATGCGATAAATGAAAAATGATTTGATTTCAGTCAAACTTTTTTGACTAGTTGTATATAAAATTTGGTTCAACTGGCCCAAGTCTCAGCATTGTAGCATAAATAGGAAGGGAGAAAAAAATATTGAATTGTGTCAAAAATTTTCCAAAATGGTAAAAAATTAACGTCAAACAAAAGTGTCAACTGAAATCATGTCTATGACTCTAAGGTATCACATAAGCATATAATAACGTATTTTAATATTCAGTTTTATTCAAACTAAAAAAAAAAAAAAAAAAAAAAAAAAAAAAAAAAAAAAAAAAAAAAAAAAAAAAAAAAAAAAAAAAAAAAAAAAAAAAAAAAAAATAGATGTTTTTCTTAATTTTTTCATATTTTTTATCGGCTGATTTGCATGAAACTTATACACCGTACAGAATGTATGCCTATCTGTAAAGATGCAGATTTTGGAGGAAATTGGTTGAAGTCAACTTCAACCACAGGTGGCAGAGTGTTTGATCTTATTTATTTTCAAGTAACATAAAATTGCATCTCCTCTTTCATTTTTTTTCAATTTACATGAAATTTACACCTTATATGTAGAGTTGATGTCTCTACAATAATGCTAGAAACTTTATTCCTAAGTTCATTTATTGTTTTTATAAAGCTTTGCAAACATGAAATATTGACATATATTTTTGGGGGAACTTTGACTACTTGTATTAGTAAAACTAAACGTATTTTGGATAATCCTTTTTAGCCAAATCCTTTATTATATGCTAATATGATATATGAGTGTCATAGAAATGATGTCATTTGAAACTTGTGGTTGTAGTTATTGAAAATGTGTAAAATTCATTGGAAAAAAAATCTCCCTTTCTTTATAGGGTGCAATACAGAAACGTAGAACAGTTGCAGCCCTTCTTATATACAACTAGTAAAAAAAGTTTGGTTGACATTAAACAACATTTAAAAAAGTGTAATACGCCCCTTTAAGATGCACTGTCAACTTATTCTGTTTTGAGGATGTGGTGGGGAGGTTGTTAAATACAGATGCTTTATAGTTTAGCAAACATGATAATACATGTACTGTTATAAATTATTAAAGTGATTCATGGTGGCAAACAGCACTTTAGACATGTATATTCACATGAGTTTACTGGGTAAAAACTACATTACACTCTCCTCCTATATTCTCCTCAAATATTGGTGCAGCTTCTTGCCAATTGCAACTAACTACACAACTGCTATCAGTTTTATCATTATTAATATCATGCTTGTGTGTATCTAATGTAAATTCAGGTGTGTAAGGGCAGCTTTGAGCAACCATATGTTCAGTAACTGCTGCTTCACACACAGTATCAAAGGAACTATCAGGGTTTGCAGGTAGCTGATCAACTGTGTTTAATGCATGTTTTTCTTCGTTGTCATAAGGTGTAATGACATTATCACTGTAGCCTAGAATTGGGTACTTAGGATCATATTTCAACTTTCTAGTAATTTCAGTAACTTCACACCAGTCTTGATTATTGGCTTGTGTAAACCTTTCTCCTCCCGCCAATTTCTCATTATCAGTCGAAGTTCCATCTGTGACTCGAGTCATGCCGAGAAGGTCGCCTCCTTTCGTTCGATAAACACCGATGAAGTCCTGCAGGTACATATGAACTTATAAATATTGTTTAAAACTGGTTATACTACTTGTTTTTCCATTGTATAACACTACCACTGAAAATTAAATGCAAATTATTATGTATTTCACTGATAAACTCACATGAAGCAGGGACATGAACCTACCTAGAAGTGCTAGTCCAGTACCATCCTGTTATATGTAACTTGTCCTCCAAAAATGGCAGTACTTATAGCAACTATTGGTCGAATGTACAAAAATGGACTGTTGTACCATAGTACATGTTTTGAACTATTAGAATACTCAGATGGCATGTTTCTCAGGCTCCAGTAAACAGACACCATATTGGAAAAAATTGTGGGCACCCCTCCAGGATGCGAGGACCTCAGTATTGAGAGAGCGGCCATGAGTAAGCAATTAATTAATTATCAAAAGAAGGCACCAAACCGGGAAGGCTATGTAGCACCATCAAATGTGCAAGATAATCAGAGAGCGCTAAATATCACCAAGGATGCCAATACGAGAACAGTAACGCATAAGGCGAACAATACCAAAAGTATCCGAGTCACCAAGATTTCCAACGAGGGACAAGCGACCGCAGGGGACGGTCGAAAAACAAGACACACACTCGTCCCAGAAGTCAGGATATTCCGCAAGGATATGCAAGACCGTAAGAGGGACAATGCAATTTGGACAATAAGGAGCAGGGTGGCGCTCCATTAAGTAACCTTGAGTTAAATGAGTATGGCCAATACGCAACCTCACCAGCCGTTTTCCATTGCCGGTTATGGTGGTAGGAGGACGGCCACAAGGGCACACAACTCTTAAGAGTTGTGTGCCCTCGTGGGCACACAACTGCGGAGTCGAAGCAGTTCGCATACGCAGTTTGTTACCAGTAACAGAAGACCAACAAGTCTGTCAACGGGTAAGAATGGAGGAATGGATAACTGGGTAAAAGCCGGAATAAGGAATACCTTTATGAGAGATGGGACAAGAGCGGACAGCTTCCCTGGCGGCAGCATTCGCACGCTCATTTAAAAGAGACACCAATATGGCTGGGAACCCAGCAAAACTCAACCGACTTAAATTTACTGTGAACAAGAAACAGCCAATGCTGGATCTCGACAACCACTGGATGAACGGGATTAAAGGACCCAAGAGCCATGAGGGCACTACGAGAGTCAACAACAACTACAAAGGAAGATTGACAACGAGAAAGCAGGAGACGAAGAACATAGAGAATAGCATAAAGTTCCGCTGTGAAGATGCTAGTCTCCGGAGGTAAGCGACACATATAAGTGCAATCAGGAAAAACAACAGAGTAGCCTACACCATCCGCAGACTTAGACTCATCGGTGAAGATGGAAACGGAGTGGGGGTGAGAAGAAAAGTGCTCAAGGAAAAGGCGTTTTAGAACCGTAGGAGGGGTAAAAGCTTTAGTGATGCGGGTTAAGGATGTACAAAACTGCGGAAGGGGGACTCTCCACGGGGGCAAAGAAGGAACAACACGAGGAGAAATATTAGAAATACAAACTAAAAGAAAATTCTGTAAGCGAGATAACCGGATAGAAAGAGGGAGGTGGTGAAGAGGTACAGGAACCGCAGGAGGGGCAATAGTTAAAGCACGACAGAGGCGACAGGAAGGACCGCGCAAGATAGCGAAGACAGTAGCGATCACAGTGATCCTGGAGAGATAGAAAGCCAGTGTCAACATACAAGTTGAGGTCGGGAGTTGAACGAAAGGCACCAGAACTAAGGTGCAACCCAGTATGGTGCAAAGCATCAAGACGGCAAAGAGTAGAAGGAGAAGCAGACGAGTAATCAGGGCAACCATAATCGAGTTTAGACAGGACAAGAGAGGAATGTAAAGCAAGGCGAGTCCCAAGAAGTATGGGACAATACTCGGAGGAGGGTAAGGGCCTTAGAGCATTCAACACGGAGGTAAGAGATATGGGGCGACCAAGACAAACTAGTGTCAAAAATCAACCCCAAAAGCTTAGCGGAATCCTTGTACACAATGGGGTGACCACAAAGCGACAAAGAAGGACGAAGAACGACACGCTTCCGAGTAAAAGTCATAGCACAAGTCTTAGACGTAGAGAACCTGAAGCCATGATTAGTGGCCCAAGACGTCACAGCATCAATTGCAAGTTGAAGCCGACGTTGAAGGAGAGGCGAATCATCACCCTGAAAGCAAAGGGTAAGATCGTCGACAGAGTGCGGAGAAGACGCCAGAAGGAAGAGAGGAAAGAAGACCATTGAGGGCAACCAGAAAAAGAATAGTGCTCAGAACACTACCCTGGGGCACACCTTCGTATTGCTGAAAAGAGGCAGAGTGGTACCAAGTCTCACCCGAAAGGAACGAGAGAGGAAGCTTTGGAGAAAGAGAGGGAGATGACCACGAAGGCCAAAAGAATGAAGTTGGGATAGAATATGATATCGCCAAGTGGTGTCATATGCCTTTTCCAGGTCAAAAAGGATGGCAACAACGGAGGTTTTCGCAGCAAAAGCAGTACGAATATACACCTCCAAGTTCACCAGGACATCTGTTGTGCTGCGGCACTTGTGGAAACCAAATTGAGAAGGGGAGAGGTGGTTATGGTGTTCTAAGAACCACATCAGACGAATATTAACCATACGTTCAAAGAGTTTGCAGACACAACTTGTGAGGGCAATAGGGCGAAAGTCCTTAGGGGATGTACCCAGAGACCCTGGTTTGCGAACAGGGAGGACAACAGCATCGAGCCAGTCCTCAGGGACTGATGACTTCCAGATCCGATTATACAGACTCAGTAAATACTGAGACGTGCACGGAGGGAGATGGCGAAGCATCTCATAATGAATGCCATCAGAGCCCGCCGCCATAGAACAGCAGAGGGCCAGGGCAGATCGAAGTTCAGAGAGAGAGAGAGAGAAGGGATCATTACAGGGAAGTCGAAGATGAGTTCAGAAATCTAAAGGACGAGATTCAAGGACAGGTTTACGAAGAAGGAAAGATTGGGGAAGATGAAAACCAGAGCTAACAGAAGAAAAGTGGGAACCGAGTTTGGTAGCAACCTGCAACGGGTCCGCCACAAGAGTACCACGGAGGTGAAGGACCGGCGAGACATCGGGAACGAACTTACCCGCTATGTTGCGGATACGCTTCCAGATCTGCGGCAGAGGAGTTTCGGACGTCATGGAGGAGACATAAGACGCCCAACATTTATGTTTAGCCGTACGGATAGCCCTACAGGCCACCGCACTCGCCCTCTGTAACAAAAGAAAAGAATCGGCCGTCTGCCGGCGGCAGTGTCTCTTCCAGGCTGCACACTTACAGCGGACAGCCCGGGCACAGTCTGCATTCCACCAGGGAACGCACTTCCGTGGTCCCCGAGAGGAAGAGCGAGGAATAGAGCGGAGGGCAGCGTCGAAGACGGTGTCATGAAAAAGGAGGAGAGAGCGAGGGAGAGGCAGAAGGGAGAGGTGAGAGAGAACAGCACAGAGGGTAAATAGGTTCCAGTCTGCCTTAGCAAACTGCCCCCTAGGGAAAGAGAGGGGAGGGTGAAAAGAGAAAAAGGTAACAAAGATGGGGAAATGGTCATGGAAATGGTCAGGTCATCAAGAACCTGCCACGTGAAATCTAAGTACTGTAAAGAGACGACGAGCAAAGAGAAAGATCAAGACAGGAAAGGGTGAGAGTCCGAGAGCCCAAATGCGTGGGCTCACCAGAATTCAGAAGAGACAGGGAAGAAGAGAGGATGAACGGCTCAAGAAGGCGACCCCGGGTGTTTGTCAGAACATCACCCCAAAGAGAATGATGACAATTGAAATCACCTAGCAGGAAGACAGGCTCCGGCAAGGAGTCCAGTAGGTGTTTAAGATCGAGAAGAGAAAACGGGACACTCGGGGGGAGATAAATGGAACAAACGGTGTACCATTTCCTCACAAAAATGTGAGCAGCAGAACAATGGAGAGGCGAAGGAAAAAGTAAGGGGACAAAGGGAACATTAGAGCGAATCAAGAGAGCAGAAGAGTTAGGAGCCCCAGCAACTGGGGGGGGGGGGTTAGAGCAAGAAATAGCGACGAAAGCAACCAGGACGAGCACCAAGCATCGGCTCCTGGAGACAGACATAAAGGGGCGAAAACTGCGAAATCAGAAGATGGAGTTCAAGGCATAATAACAGGCAAGGTTGGAGGCATAATAACCACGAACGTTCCACTGAAGAATAGACATCAACAAGAAAAGAAAGGACAGCAACAGAGAACAACGAAGAAACAAAGGTGAAAAGGGAACACACAGCACGTTAAAGAAGCGCAGGATCAGGGTCGGGGTCAGCGAAGTCAGGGTTAGGGGGCATGGTAAACTGAGTAAAGAAGGACGGGAGGGAGCTGGAGGATCAACCAGGGGTGGACGAGTAGGGTCCGGAGGAGGAAGAGGGGGGATGATAACAGAGGGATAGCAGCAGGAGCATAAGGCTGCAAAAGGACAGAGGACTGGCCCATGGAGCATCACACTCTGGCAGCCGCCCACCAAGCCCCCCTCACGGCATCAACGAGCCGGACAGGGAGGGCGTATAAATACATCGAAAATATTATACAGTATATTCAATGCTTGCAGTTACAACTTTGAGCAAAATATGCAGGGCTAGGTTGAATGATCACTGGTTATGAGATTATCACACCATCAAAACTAGTTTGCAGTTTGCAATGACCCACAAAAAACATATATATGTACTGTAGTTATACATGTATAGTAATTATGTACATTGTAATACAGCAAAACCTGCATTTTTACTGTTCAAAGAATATAATATTGTGCATAGTTCCAATCTACAAAAGTGGCAGCAGGGAAGACCCCCTCAATTATAGACCTGTATCATTGACAAGTGTAATAGTGAAAGTATTGGAAAAGCTAATCAAAACTAAATGGGTAGAACACCTGGAGAGAAATGATATAATATCAGACAGACAGTATGGTTTTCGATCAGGAAGATCCTGTGTATCGAATTTACTCAGTTTCTATGATCGGGCCACAGAGA